GGCACACGGCCCAAGCTCTCGGCAGGACGCCTGCGAGAAAAGCCTTCCCGGCAGCAACTGCTCCCTGCACCTCTCGCTGAGACATGTAGGAGTTTGCAAGCTTGGCCCAACGAGTATCGGGTGTCTGCTGTCACCGGGACTGGCCCCGTAAATAGGTCTTTACAGCGCGCAGCAGCATTCCCCTCTAACAGCTGTCAAATATTTTCCTGGAGCAAGGCTATGGAAGTAACAACTGCTTGAATGCAGCTCTTTAAAAGTGTTTGTGTTTCATGAGGTGAAAAAAATTCTTTCTGGTCCAAAGGAGACTTTTAACCAAGTGTATCAGAAAGCATTTTTTTCTTTCTTCTCCTCCTTTTTTTTTTTTTTATACCATGTAGAAATGTAAAAGTAATGGTAATAGGTTTTCCTCTTTGCTGATAATATAAGGTGTTTCTGACAAGAAGGAAATTCAAGCTGACACATTCCTGGCTCTGTTCAACTACTCTGATTGATGTGATCTGGTTACCTTTTCCCCCTATTTTCTTTTTAAAAATATATTATCACTGGGAAATCTGCACCTCAGAATGAACCATATATTTCTTTTACAGAGGTCAGTCCATTATATAATTTTGCACATATGTCCAATACAAATCAATTCTATTTGGCTCAAGTGCACCTAAAGAGGCCCAGAGCACATTCAATCCAAATTGTATCACATTCTCCTCAATCAAATTCACAAGAATTAGATTTTTCTTTCCTTTTTTCTTTTTTCTTCCAGTTCAAAATGAATACTATGGTTAAAAACATTTCCTGGAGGGTGGACTGGAATGCTTGTAGAGGAGACAGATGCAAAAGTAGCAGATATGAGCTTCTATATTGACTGTCTCCATAAAGGCACTCAGTTACTTTATACAAATAGTAGTTTCATGGTAATCGGCACCTGATCTTGCTATACAGAATTTCCATAGCAATGTCATCCTTTTTATTTAAATAAAAATTAAAATCAACACACTTCATTCAGTCCTATATGGATAGGCCTTATAAATCCCATAACAAGATTTGTTTAATTTAGAGTGCACGGCTGGACTTTTTGTACCAGAAACTAAAAAAGGACTCACTCACTCACTCCTGTAACAGTGTGCATACCCATTTCAGTTTGCAGAAACATTACTCCTTAGTTTAGAAGTTAGGCTGTTTTTCCCCTGCGATAGGTATCTGCGGCAGCTCAGCCAATGTTTCTGTTTAGCTAAAGAGGCTTCTGCTTTTCCCACTGCAAGCGGATGCGCTGCTTGGAAAAGCTGCTCGGTACAAGAAAACAAGCACTCCTGTCAGTACAAAACAAACAGGGTAATGGACATTTTTGCAGCTGCATTGGCAAGAGCCTGGTTACCCGTAGACCAGGACTTGGAGGTCAGCGGGCTTTAGCAGCCAGGGCGCGTTTTGGAGGCTGGTGCCGCGTGCGCCCAGGGAGCCTGCCCGCGCTGCGGGGTCTGCCCGCTGCTGAAGAGCAGCGATCTTTGACCAATGCAGTGATGCAGCCTCTGGGGTAGACGCGGTTTTACTGCTGAAACGGTGCTTTTATCCATTAAGCTCATTTCACTCACAGCCCTTCTGTACTCACCCAAGAACGCATCTTTGCTACCGGTTGTGTTCACTCATGGAGGATCATGTCATCCCTGCGCTATACAGACATTGCCAGCATTAACATAATCCTAGTGAAACCGAAAAAAAAAACCCAAATTGTGAAGAGACAGACACTCACCAGCAGGTATAAATCATTCAAGAACAAAGTGTTCAAGTAACATTAACCTAAAGGTATCATGACACATTTTTCTCCAATGGATGGCATTGGCTAGTTAGTATTCAAGCGATCCTACCTAAATAAAACTGATGGATGTTAACAGAGCAGACTATGAGAAAATTTTATCAGGATGCCCAAATTCTGCTCCTTCTTGCTTAATCAATCACCTCTCTGCTGAGCTGTGTAGCATTTTGCTGCAAAAGTCTTAGCAGAGAAATTGGGCTATGGCAAAATGAATAATACATTTGCTGCAGTGCTAGGCTAATGACCCTTAAGTGCCTTAGAAAAATGAGCTGCATGGACTCCTTCCTTTTACAGAGAGACCGGGTCATATATTGGGAAGTAACTAATAACAAGGTAATAAGGATGCTGTTTAGAGGTGCAAGAGGTAAAGCAGAGCACGTCCTGCCTAATTTTATGACCACAGCAAGAGGTGACATGTCCAGTCCTTGTCCAAATACTCATCTGTTGGAGTCTGAGGTATATATTTGTTTTTATCTCCTCACCTTTTCCCGCTGCAGCCTGCACTGCTTTTATACACGTGTTAATCATCTCCATCTTTTTTCGCTTGCTGTCTCCGTGAAGCTTCTTGTGGCATCGTAAAGACATTGATCAAATGGTGACAGGCAGGACAAAGCTATTTACTTTGAAGCAGTAGGAGGGTTGCAGGGCAAGGAAGCGCAGCTAAAATCTGCATTGGCTGGCACTTACAATACCTGAACAATTCATAAGTCTCCTTAAACAGGTCCCTGAAGGCAAAGAATAGTGGCTTAGGTTTCCTTACAGAAATGTCATTTTTATCTGCGGCATAAAGCGGTAAAGGAAGAGGGGAAAAAAAAAAAAGTATGTATTAAGCATGCTTAAAAAGAAGCTTATTCAATGATAATTACAGAGAAACGTAAAACCAGTGACTGAACGGTGGAGGATTATTTACAGTCTTTTCAAATTTACTTCCTTTAAATCCATCTAAAGCATACTTGAAGTTAAAATGAAGCCTTTCTTCTGATTTCCTTTTTAAGTGTAAAAAGGGAGCAAGAGAGACCACTACTTTTGGGGGGGGGGGTTATCATCATTTTATTAGAAGATATAATTGGTAGGCAGCGGCTGAAAATGAAGCGCTTCTTTAAGAAAGCGGTCATTTAAAAACTAGTGTGGGGTCACGTAACCTCGTTATTCCCTTTACATCTTCCGTTCGGTCAAAACACCAACACCTACCCCAGCAGCTTTCATCTCGGGCGGCAAATGCCGGTGCTTCCCTTTCAAGTCGGGCTTTCTTCCGCTGTGGCAGGAGCGCAATCTCCCACGCCACCACTTCGGCTTCATCACGTTGCTCTTCTATCTGTTCGGGGAAATCAGCTTCGCTTTGTGTCATTCTTGCGCGCCTTAGCAAGGTTTAGAAAGCAAAAGAAAAGAGGAATCCTTTCAAATTAAGAGGGCCCAGTTTGATAGCACTTCCTCAACCCAAAAAAAAAAAAAAAAGGGGGGGGGACAGAGAGAGACAGACAGAAAGCTTTATTATCTGAATAGTTTGCTTGAAAAGGCCGGGCGACACCGGGACATTCAAATCCCAACTGTCTAAGCTGAAGTCCTTGATGTGTGTTATCTGCAGGCTGCTATCATTAATAAGGAGGCTTTAAAAAGGACATTTCTTAAAGCCTGGACAATTTCTTTGGGCTAAAACTCTGAGGACGCCCTCTCTATCCTTTAGCTGAAAAAAGAAACCCTCTTGTGTATGAAGGCATATAAAAAGTTGTCTCCTTTTGCTGGACTTTCACAAAGCCTTTTTTCAGAGTTTCCTTGCTTGACTCCTAGTCCTCCTTCCGTACGAGGCTGAGACAAGAGTATTTTTGAGCATTAACAGAGAATAATAATAAAGTCTTCCAGCTGACTCGTGGTGTGAGGACTGCTGCAAAGCCTTCCTTGCAAGTCTTCCTTGAAGACCTGCTCCTGCTCTCCTCTGCTGCCTTAGAAGGAAAATTTTCTGTGAAGGTCAAATGTATTTTATTTGATGAGCTCATAGGAGCTAAGGTAGGTGTAATGACCAAAAAAGTTCTACTGCTGTTTTATTTCAAATAATATCTGAGTTTTCTCTCACCTATTTTTTTTGAGGGGGGAAGGGGTAAATTTTTTCACTCTGGCCCCCAAAAGGGAAGCAGGCTCTAATAAATCAATAGTGCTAAATAGGCTGGTCCTAACGAAACACCAGCATGCATTTTCCTTTCGCTCTTTCGAATGCACTTCCAGTCACTGGGAAGGCAAACTTCCTTCTTGCTTTAGTGAGCGTGTTTTGATAGCACAAACTGCAAGTGCTACAACACGCAGCGAAAGAAGGCTTTAACAAAACAGTGATTGAGACAAAGATTATTTTTAGTTCATGCTTTCTCGGTTATCTCGGTTATGTTTTGGACAAAACCACGCAATTAATTTTGTAAGTGTTCTGAGAACCATTTTCATTGCAGTCAGATGCTTACGTGATTGCAGCTTTGCTGGTATCTGAAAAGGAAAGCGATACGGATTCACTGGAACCGAGGTATACATATCTTACAGAGGAAACTCAACCACAAGCTTCTGATGAAGCCCTTTTTTAAAAGCCTACGTTAAACAAGTGACACAGTCCCTCGGTTTGTCGAGTCGATGATCTAACCTGAGATGCCAAAGGTTTCGCAACAAGAATAAAATAAATTTGTTCCTTTAAAATTGCTCCAGTCAAGGGAACAAGGAATCAATGTCTCTGCCCTGTAATGGAATCTGATTTTTTTTTTTTTTTACATACACCCTTTATTACTGTAATTTTAAAATAGCCATAACATCCTCGCAATACTTTTTAAAAAATTATCCCCAGGACTGAAATGCCCTGCATGTTTTCAACATACAGTGAATATTAATGGTTATAAATCATTGAAAAAAAGAAAAGTTGTTGATAACATAACGGGAACTATCAACTACAGCGATGCCATTAGGCATCCAAAATCTGAAGCGAGAGGCACCTGAATGTTACAAAGCCCTTGGAAATACACTACAAAGCAAAATCCGCTCCTGGGAATGGTCTAGATTGACCTCTTCAGTCTCCAGCTCTGCAGCATGCATTAGGCAGAGGCTGCTACCAGGCCGTAGCAAACTTCACTTGCTGCCTTGAGTCCAGCAACATTAAAAAAGGGACCGCATGCAGCAGTTTGGACAAAAGGGAAAAAAAACTCTCCAGACCTGGCTGCTCCAAAAGTTGGCTTCACTTTATTTGCTTCCAATTTCTTTGCATATTCTCACTTCTAATTCTAGTTAGAGATGGGGTACCGAAGCGCTGCTCAGCAAAGACAAATTTTGCTAGAATCACACTCAGAAGTTTAAAACAAAAAAAAAAAAAAGGAAGCCCTGAACTTTATCCCGATGTTTTAAAATGCAACGAATGAAGCCACTTTCTGAGTTGCACTAGCAGCAAATGGGCTGTGAGCACCCAGCATGGTGGATTTACCAGTATAAATCAAAGGTAAATACACTTGAGCTTGAGAAATTACACCTATATAAAAACCAACTGGGACTAAGATCAGAATGAATAAATAAGCACATCAGGGGGTGATTGCATGTACTTGTGCTCGGCCTCACACAGTCGCACATTGGAAAAGCATGTGGACTGCAGAAAAAAAGATCTGCCTTTCCTTGCACATAAAGAGCTCCATATCGCACTTGGGGCCTCAGAAACGAATAACTAATCTCCCGTAATTCCTTGAAGACTAACAGCACCAAAACTGTAGTTTAGGAAAGAAACATTTAAGGAGTCTCGGATATATTTTTGGCACTAAACCGCCTCAGTCAACGCAATCACATCCTGTCAAGCCACGTCAAAAACACGTTTGATAGGTCCTGACATAACTGAGGCACTCTTACATCAAGCACATAACCAGTCAGGAATATTCAAGAATGCTGATCATTAAGGCGTTCTATGGAAAAAGGGCTTCTTAATAAATATTACTTGCATTCAAAAAGAACGGCAAAGAATCCAGAGGATATATTTTATTCTCATTTGCTGCACTGCCTTTGATTAGCACTTTCCAAATGTATGGTGGAGCATCTGACAGACCTGTACACGCCAAGGATGCCCCAAGAACATTTTCTCTGTGATAAACTGTCAAAGACTTGGAGAAATCCTGCTTGTGCAGTCTGGGCTCAGCTTCACAGGAAAATTGATCTTTGTTCTATTCCTTTCTCCAAGGATTAAGACAATATGATTTGGATGCTTGCAAGATGACCAGCAGCAGTCAGAAAAATAAATCATTTAAACATTCTGTAAGTGTAGGGAGAAAGAAAGGAAATTAAGTTTTTATTAAAACAGATAACAGGAATGCTATCAGTACAGCAGTTTCCTATTGCCTGCTGAGCACAGTAATGAGGATTCAGGATGCTGTAAATGATACACTGTCAGAAAAAGCCTCTGGATGCACAGCAAGAGCTTCAAAGCAGCTTCATTTTCCTGCAGAACTTAATCTTATGAAACATTTATTTAAGACACACCGAGCAATTAAAAATGTGTGTGCGTGCATGGGTGTGTGCATGTGTTTTGAGAAGCCTTGCTTCTTAGAGCTGAACATATACTCTTGCAGGTAAGGCTAGAATTAAAAGAAAAACGTCTTTGAAAATGATGACTTGGAATTACATTAATCTACCCTCGAAAGAGAGGTTTGTGCTCAAAATAATAAAGCCCATAAGTTCTGAGGTTAACTATATGTGCAGAACATAATAAACAGCAATAGTCGCTGCTTGTCTCATTTAGCGAGCTTAGCTGGTCCTGGGAGAGGGGAGGGCGACCAGGACTGTCATAAGCTAGCGATATAACTGAAAAGCGCGGCTGTCGGAGGCACCTTCTGCTGCAGGCCGGCAGGGGCATTCGTCCGGCAAAACCCGGCGTGGCCCCAATTCTCCCGCCACGTCCGTGCGCTGTCCCTGGCTGTCGCGGAGGGCTCACCCGAGGGGAGAACCAGACCCCCCATTTCGGGACACCGGCTGCAGCTGGGCACCTCGTCGTGCTGCGCCGTGTTTTAGCACCGGGCACAGACGTCCTACTGACCCTGTGCCCGGCTGTTGGATGGCTGGTAACGCGTCTCCTTCCAAACAAGCCTGAAACGGCCATGCCACCTCCTCCCCCTAAAAATAAACAAAGGAGGATTTGAACACTGAAACAACCCTAATTGCATTTTATATCTGTCCTTTTTGCCTCCTACTAGAGATAAGCTTCAAGAATAATTCCTCTTTCTATCACACACACCACGTGTACTTCTCACATTATGCCCTTCCTGCAGCTGCTCCCATCCCACATCCTTCTGATAAGCGCTAAGCAGGGGGAAAAAAAAAACCAGGGCAAGCGCTGCCCTTCTTTTCAACCTCTTCTGGTCAGAGATAAGACCACGTGTTTGGAAATACTGGGAGCGCTCAGTGTATTGACTTTGTGGCAGGAGAGGAAGGCTGTGCCACCGCCCGACTGAGCTTTTCCGTGTCCCCTCACGGCAGCTGATATTTTAGGACCTGGGTTAATAGTATACTTTCTCTGTTTGGTGCAACCGGGTGTGGGCCCGGTGTAGATGCCCGGCTACCAAAGAGAACCATATTAGGAGATCAGGAATACGGGAGATGTTTTTGCCCCAGTTACAGAAGCGGCAGGAGAAAAACCGAGATATCCTACTCGGCTTAATTTAGCGGCAGCAAAAAGGATCAGTCCAGCAAAGCACACCTTTTGCTAAAGCCTTAACCTTCACCTAGCGGGAACAGTGAAAACTCCAGCAACGAAGCTAAAGTCCAATTAACGAACGACCCAGGGCGCTTGTCCTAAGCAGCAGAAAAATGATCTTCTTTCTCGGTACTATATATAGCTCGGCCCTGGCTTAAGCTATACTTTTATGTCATGTCTGCCTTCTTCCTAGGACAAGTTTCTAATTGTTATAATTTTACTTAGCGTTCCTTGCATTTTACCTTTCCTTTTTATGAGGCTGCTCACAAACAGTATGGGGGTCATACTCAATCAGAAGAAGAAACACTACACCTGTTCTCCGTCACATACCACAGATAGGTTTTGGGTTTTGTTTTTGTTGCTTGCTTGCTTGTTTGTTTGTTTGTTTTTTTACACCATGCACTTCATGCTTTTCCCTTTTCAGTTAAGCCAGGCTGTCAGTTCTTTTTCCCACCTTTCTCTAACATGCCTATATATTGACACACACACACAAACACAAATGCATGTTATATTGTGCGATCTGGTGGCAGCAGACCACGAGGAGCTGACCACGCAGCTCAGAGGTCCCCTTTCCTGCTAGCAGGTTTAGCGGATTCGGCTTTGCCAGTGAGGAACAGCCTAATATTTGCAACAGGCCATGAGCAAAGCGGAACAACTTTTAAGATCTTATTTAAAATTCAGAGCACTCGGGGACTATGACAGAGTCATGCATTCAGAATGAGACAAAGCAGCAAGCATGAGGAATGTAAAATGTATTAGTCTTCATTTAAAACCAGGGAAGTCTCTATTCCTCTTTCATGTACTTGATTGGTAATTTGGTGTGCATTAGTTTCAGAAAGTAATGTTTTGTATGAGTAGATTTGGCCAATAAAATGTCACACTAACTAAGATGAGGACAGTAAAATATCTCAAGCTACTGTTTTCACATAAAATAGCGATAGATTCAACATTATGTAATTACAGAGACTCTGAGAGAAATACAATGTAATGAATGCTAATACGCTTTGTGCCATAATACTAAGAGGTTTGAAGCCTTTTATTTATCTTATTGCAGTGCAAACATACTTACTCAGGGCAACACTTCTGAGGCCCCTAAATGGTAGGAATGCATATGAACATGCACAAGGATCAGCTGGGATCACAAAACTTTACATTTTTCCATGTAAGCTATTACGAGGGAGAGCATTTTGAAGGAACAGCAAATAGTCAAGTACTTTTATGCATGCAATCACTTGATTTGCTAGCGTTAGCATAAAGTTTCGTGAATAAAACAGCAGTATTTGCGGCTGCTAGCATTTAAACTGTGGTCGCTATCATTACTGTCAAGTAGTCTCTAGCCAGAATTTGATAGGTATACCTTTATGTATTACCATTTACAATACAGTTCTGCTGTCGTCTGTAAACTCTATCTCCTTAAGGAAGCTGTGCAATTACAGAAAAATTTTCAAATCTAGGCATGGGAGCATGGGAGCCGTAGCACTAGGTCCATCCTTCACCTACAGAATGGGAGAACGGTGTTCTTCCAGTCCAGCTTGTAACATCCAAGGGATACAACAACGTAAGTTTTGGACAGAGTTAGGTACGACCTTGGCCTCGCTAAAGATATACCATAACTTGTCTCTGATAACGATTAAATTTCTTTACAGTCACCGTTATATGGATCCAACTCTCCATGTCGGTGCCTCAGGAGAACCTTACTGAACACCCCAGCCTGCAGAAGCAAACCAGAAAGTCTGCTTGCTTGGTCTGTTGAAGGAGACTTTGCAAAAGGAGCTTGTATTTTGCACAGATATGAAGGCATTTTTTTTAAGAGCAGGCCTTCGTTGTTTTGAGCTCGGACAAAAAGCTTTTCTGCCACTTCTCTGCAACATAGTGGAAATCAGCTAGATACTACTGGTGCCTCCTTTCCAGGGGTGCTGTAGGCTTACAACCTCAGTTCAGTCATCTACCCAAGCATACTGTCAGCTACATTCAAAACACATAATTAAGCTGTACATATGCCAAAGTGCATGGGTCATAGTTTACACAGTGCTTTGAGATCCTTCAGGTGGAGAGGCAATAAACACCATGATTATTAAACCGTGTTTTGCAACCGTGCTGCAGGGATAATTAATATGAAAGTGGCCATGATAGAAAAATCTTGTGTATATTATTATATGTGCTTAGGAAGAAAATGAAATCTCAATATATTTACATTAAAAATCCATTCAATTAAAATTATGTTTGCAATACTGATAGAAAATTAAAAATAGAAATAATTTTTGTCAAATGTAGGTTCATTTGCATACTCATGCAAGCAAAAGCTTTGGAAAAAATGAAAACAGTTTGAAATTAAGGGTAAAGTGGAAGGACTATAAAGAAAGTGATGGTAATTTGCTCAGAAGATTCCCTCTTTAATGCCATAGTAGTAGCAATTGAAATTAATTCACTGCAAGATGTTAGGATGTTACCCTTGCAGAAAGGGTAGAAAATGGTATTTCCAAAGATTCTGACACGTAACTAGTCCTTCTAAAAGTCAAGATCCATCAACTGAGCTCTTTAGCTCTTCAGCAGTTTCCGTTCGATTTTAGGCCACTGGCTTTGGACAGCAGCTTCAATCATAGTTCACAGGCAAATGACTTTATGCCAAGAACAACTTTGTTTGGCAGCAGGAGCTGACACATATGCTTTAGTTCTCCTGCAGTACCACATGTGTCTCCTAAAAACTGTGGTTGGAGACTGTAATAAAGATCTAACTGTTACAGCATATTAGTGAGGAAATATACAGTCCTTGACTTCAGGTCTGGAAAAAGATCTAAGAGTTTAGCTTTGTTTTTTATTCAGACACCTTTTTCAGGTGGCATATTTCACTCAGCTTTTTGACAGACTTTATCTGAAATGCTTGGGTATCCATATTTATTAGAGCTGGATGACAGCTTTTAGCTAACATCTTTTTCATTGAAAATGCCATATGGTCAGACAGAGCTCTTAGGCCAAGGAGGGAATTTCTGGGCAAAACAAACAGTAGAGAGGAGGGAGGCCAGCGTCCCAGCCATCTTAAGGCAGCCCACAGTCTGGTGGTTGGGGCACTCACGAAGGGCATGGAACAATCCTCCTGTTGATAACTATTTTGGGACTCCTAGCATAACTTTTCAAGAATATTTTTGGAAAATATGATTTTGCTTCCGTTGCATAAGCAAACACACTCAGACCCAAATATTCTTTCAGAAATCTCATCTTCTGGCCGCTCTAACACCCTCTCTCAGCTTCTGCAAAGCTTTTATGTCTACTATTCCATTGTCAGTATCATCCCTTAATAGTATGTTCATTTAGGAAAGTTATTAACACAAAGAATTAATTGAACTGTATATCACACATTCAGTACATAAGTAAAACGTACCTGAGAAAATTCCCTGTGCACATCTTAGTTAGAACGGTTATGGTAGAGCCTCAACTCGTTAATCAGTAGAACAGTTACTTTTGTAGAACCTGCAAAATAATTTCTCAGTTATTACATTTTTATCATCAAATCAAACTTTGAGCTGAAAATTTGTAGATTTAATCTTTGAGTAAAAATAGCCTGACAAATTGCACATGAGAAGAAAATGTAAAAAGTATACATTTCCTCATAATCTCTCCATTTTCTCTCAAAATATTCCTTTAAATTGTATCTCAATAGAACTAAGGCTAAAGGAAAAAAGTGTTAAAAATTGCTTTTTGCCTAAAACTAGTCTTTATCAACATACATAGGTTTGGCCTTGGGCAGGGATCTTTATGGTTAGCTCCTCTATACATAGAGCTTTTCATCTCAAGAACACCTATCTCAGTAACTCAAACATGTATTTCATAATCTTTGTCATAACAACAGCATTCTCTATATAAAATTAGATGCCAGACAAGGAGAAGAGCAATTTTATTCCACTGATAATGAAGCAATCTTCAGCAAGATGTCAAGACAACCTAAGCGGCTAATGGTATTTCTTGTGACCCACCTGCTGGCCATCCTTTCCCTCCAGGAAAAAAAGGGAATCCTTTTCACTAAGCACAAATCAGTATTTAGATAAACACTAACCAGATGAAGAGGAAAACACTCTGACAGCCTTCAGGCTTAAGGACTACAAGTGTGCTTAACCACTATGTAAAAAATACTTTCTTACACGAACAACCTTAGTGAATGTCTAGCAGTGCTGCTACCTCAGCCTCCAACTAAGGACAAACCAGATATTTATATACAGTGTGCACGAGCTCCCATATCTTCTATTTTATCTTTATTTTAGTAGGAGCAACCTCTTTTGGGCATCACTGAGAAGCAGAAATTGACTCTGGCCTTACAAGAAAAAGAAGCAGGCAGGATGCGAGAACATGGGCAGATACCTTAAGATCAGAAAACGACCACTCCTCTCCCCAGCAGCTGCTGTGGAAAAGCTGACATACACCAGCTCTGGCCCAGAGAGCACCAAGGGGCTGGGGAAGCAAGATGCAGCTGCAGTGTACAGTGGTTATTCTGCATTTAAGGTGCCGACAGAGAGCTGCTTTATTCCATGTCTGCTTCCACCTCACCCCCCAAAAGGGCTTGGGCAGCCCCTTGCCCAGATTCTTCTCCTCTCCCATTTGCTCTCCTCATTATCAGATCTTCCTTCCAAGACAAAAGTTAATAACAAAAATGCTTTTTAAATGGCATTATTATAACATAAAAATACTTATAATAACCTAATAACTTTCCACATCTGCTTGCTCTAAATGAGGGTTATGGTCTTAATCTACAGACTTTGTCTGTGGGCACTTCGATATCATTTTCTACCAATTTCTTAGGGATAAAAAGGAGTAGCGGTTATATGTCTAAACCCCTACCTCACCGCAAATCACTTAAATTCAAACTCATTAAAATAGGACCCATAGTCAGAGAACACTATACTGTATAGGCTGTGTAAAAAAAAAAAAAAAAAGACTTGAGAGGTCAGCAAAATTTTCCATAAGGCAATTTCAGAATAGCAAAAATCATGCCAGAATGCTGGAGCAATGACAAGAGCCTATTCCCTGCCACCACCTTCCCTCACCACATCGCCGACTCCTCCTTCATCATAGCGTTGCACATGCTCAGAACAAATGTATCGCACATACAAAGTCTTCGCGCTGCCCATGCATCAGTAAACCAGCAACAGGAAAACCAAGCGCCTCCTGAGAATGTTGAATTTGCTGAGCACAGAGCAGCTCTGCAGGACTTGTGCAGAAGGTCCTGCGCTCCTTAGTGTTGTGTGAGTGCAGCAAATCCAGCGTTTCCAGGAAATGCCAGCGCAGGGGAAAGACAGTGGCTTGCCACCTTCCCTCCACCACAGAAACAAAGAAAATGCCCAGTCTCATAAAATATCCTGGGCACCGCTCTCTACATTAAAAAGAGAGGTTTCCTTCTGTAAACAAATCAATGCTTACTTGTTTTGGAAACCTGTATTTCCTGGACCAATAACAATAGCTCCTTTGCTTGGTCTGGTCTGGAGGTTTTGGGCGTGTGCAATAAATCTAAAAGCTTCTTCCATGTCCTGTTCTTTTGAAGCCAGTATTAATTGTCTCAAGGTTTTCTCATAGACTTCTCAATCCTTAAATGACCTTCTATATCCACTCAAACATATTTTTCATCAACACCTGAAGGGGCACCATCTTGTGGCCTTTCAACAAAACCCATTAAGCACGTGGTGTTTCCTTGCAAGAACATAACACGGACTGAAAAGAAGCCGTCCAAACCACCATGGTCTAATACGCTCACTTACCTTTGTGGGGTTTTATCCTTAGGAACAGCTCTGGTAAGCACAGTTCACTTTCAATCTGAAGCTGGTAAGGTTTCCTATGACGCTTTTTTTTTTCCCCCCAAACTGGCAGATCTGAAATTGAGTGCTCTAAAGCACTGTGATCAAGTAATCTTGCGAATTTGCACGTAACCATCAAATCCCTCCCCAGTTTGTTTTCAGTTTGCAAACCATAAGTCTGTAGCTGAAAAATAATCTCTTTATTCGTGTGTGTTTGACAGGCTCCTTTTGGCAATGTTAATAAATGGTTTATGGTCTGTTTCAGCTACCAGTAAAATAGCCATGCATGAAAGCGGGGGGGAGAAACTTGTTACACCAATGAACTAAACTCAGAGTGGCCTTGCCTCTGTAAATTTACTGGTATTAATTTTTTGTTAGCCCTGAGGCTGAAAAATGAATAAGATGACTATATTAGAAAGTACTCACTATATTGGTTCTTCTAGTTATATATTTCTAGTCGTATGTAAAAACTAAATCTTCCCCTCTCTCCCTTCCTATCTTTCATTACTCTGCTTACTATTTTTCCCTATCCTCAGCCTGTCGCTCTCCCACCCTTGGTTTGGTTCATCTCCCTCCCTTGCAAAACGTATCTGATGATCCTTCTTAGTGCCAGGCCAAGCCTTTCTGGTGAGAAAGGCTTTCATTAGTGCCAGGCCAAGCCTTTCTGGTGAAGGAAAGGCCGCTGGAAACATGAGCTAAAACAGTGCTCAAGTCAGCGGCTTTAGGGGAGGGCAGTTCTCACCCTGTCAACGGTGAGAAGGGTGAGATTAGATTTCCCTGGATTTCCGAGACAGAGTACAACTTCAGCAGTTCAGGTTCAAATGGATAGCAATTTCTTGCATCAGCGTTTAAGAAACTCAAGAGATCAGAAGAGTATAGACTGGCGACGGTGGAGCAATCTGGGACTTGCAACAGCCTGAGACAGGCTGAGTGTAGCAAGGGGCTACAAACAGGGAACGAAACTTTGCTGTGGTTGAATTACAACAGCGATGTCTAATGGCAGCTATGGTCAGTCCTGCAGTAGATCAAAAGGGAAAAGGCTGCATCTGCCATAGAGGAAAAACAAATGATGCTTCTGTTGGCCAAGCAGCTGGACTCAAAAAATGCATTTATAAAGTTATCAATCAGAGAAAGAATTCCAGCCAAAAATTATCCCCTTTTTATCAGTCTGTTGGTGAGAGGTAGTGATGGGTATAAATAAACCTAGCTGTGTAGATGCTTGGGGGAATTATTACTGGGGAAATTATTGATGATTTCAAAGTAGTGTAACTTGCTAGTAGTGCAATATACCTTAGGGCTGAATACCAGTTCCCATAGAAAAAGAAATTTTAACAATCTATTTTCTTATAATAAATGCACTGGAAATACAGAATTTAATAAAACCACAAATTACATGCTTAATGTGGTTTATACTTAGATCTATGAAATATTATTTATGTACGTGGACTAGACTTTCCAAAGATACACCCATTAAACTCTGTACCTATTTTCTCTATGAAGTGGTAAGTCTTCAGCAACAGTCTGGGGAATCAACATTGCATCAGTACCAGGTACGTTAGGTCTGATTTGTCTTTCATGCTTAAAGATGGAAGTTTCCAAAAGAAAGCCTCCAGTTCAAAGGTTTATGGGATTTTCTCTTACATATGTTTTTCTTATTTGGTGTATTTGAAGATGTTTTCAAGCACCATTTCACCTTGATAGGTCAAATGCTTTCCAGTTTATTGATATATTACTGTACTCAAAAGATTTTTGTTCTAAGAAAAGCACTAAGAGTTTGTACACAGGCATGAAGGTTAAAGATGATTTTCTTTTAATGAAGGACTTGGCAAAAAAAATGGAATACTTCGGGAAGAACATAAAGAAAGAGAAGTGACCAGACTAACGGAAAAAGTTTCTGTCGTAAAGGAAGAGACAATCTTCTGAAGTGAGAACTATGAAAGTGGAAAAACTGTAGAAGTCCACTGAAAAACAACGCGATCAAACGTTCTGGGGCAATTTTTCATCATGATGTTAATGGCAGGAATTATCTGTGCTCTTCCTGCCAGCGCTGATGGAATGAATGTGTGTGATTCTGCCGGCTCCCAGCACAAGTGCTGCTGAGCATAAACAGGGACCTGCTGAAGCACACGTAGATTTCTTTAATTGAATCAGCTCTTTACTAAAGGGAGTTAGTAGAAAATCTGCAAATCTTCCTGGCAGTTCTCTGCGTTTCGGGAACGATCAAAAGCTAACTCCTACTCAAATCAACGGCAGCCTTCTCACTCACTCCAAAGGACCTGGGAGCGAAAGCGGTGCCAGTCGTTTAAAAAAAATGGGCCAAGCAAATCCATACTTCAAAGCCTACAACAGATCTTTTTGTTTCAAACTAGATGCATTTTACAGTAGGTAAAAAACAGATGAGATCTTCCAAAAACACTAGATAATGGTTAAATGATCTACTGGATCTTTCCAATGATAAAAAAGCTACGCAAACACTACGTGGGAGTAAAAACAGAGGAGAACCTAAAACATCCATCCCACTATTGTTTATGTTTTTAGGCACTTGTCTTTTTGCACACAACATAGCCTTTGGGCAAAGAAAAGGGGGGAAAACAACTCAAAACTAAATGCAAAAAAAAAGATTTTCTTCCAAATTAATCTAGATCCTGATATGTTAAGCTCTGTCCCAGCCTAGAAATAGTGACCTATACGTGTTGACAACAGACAGCATCAACTGCATAATTTAATGAATATTGCTCTCGGTGGCAAAGCCAGTCGTTCATGCAAATGTAGTGGGGTCACACTGCAGATCAGACTGGAGAACTGCTCTATGTTATCTTTTGCACAGTTGTTTTAAACTCAGGTCAGTTCTCCAATCCAAGTCACCGTGTTACCCGCAGATACTGGTAACAGACGCGAAGATGCCTGCTCACAGGAGTACAAACAACTGACAGCTGCCAGAGGAAACACTTTGCAAACTATATTGCGAGGCTTCTTTCTTAGCATATGCTTGCCAATGAAACCCCAGAGAAAGAATGAGAACAAGTTTTTAAGAAAGTGAGGTGAGGAATTCGGGATACTGCAGATACTTTTTTTCTTTGGGGAGACAGCGATTCTCATAGCTTTTACAAAGTCTTTCGTGGTATTTTTTCTGCAAGAAAAACAATACTAGGTTAGGCAATGGCCTAATTGCCACTTCTACCTCAACTTGAACACAGCAGCAATAAGTGGACAATTTGTAAACATATTCAAGCAGGAGTTTGGGGTTACAGGTAGAACTGAAGAAGGAAAGAAGAAATCTGTTTTATCCAGTAAGGACAAAAAGCAAATGTTCAATAATCCCAACAACTGAAAAGGGTAGCAATAAAAAGTGGACCAGGTAGAAACTGTACTCCTTTGGTTTGACACAACTGCCCTAGAAGTGACTTACATGCTAAGCTAAGGAATAAGACACTGACCTCTTTAATCAGAGTTATGGATCCGGTTGCTTCTAGCACACATTTCACCAGTCGTTCTCTGCAAGTGGAGTTCAAGTGCACAACTCCCTTCCTATGGCAGACACACAGAAAGGCTAGATTACCATGAGTACAATGAAAACTCAAGTTTTCTTCAAAAGCGAACGGTACTGCTCCTCTTGCTGCCTCCCAGCATGGGGTTTGTTACAGCACTGCTGGCCAAAAAGTGTTTATTAAGAGAGAGAGAAAAAGCAGAACACTAAAACTACTTTGTGACAAAAGGAAACTTTAACCACGAATCACATGTAATCACAGAGATGTCAGACCGGAGAGGGCCTCAGCAGATCACCCTGCCCTGAGGCAGGTGCACGTGCTCCTAGTCCATCCTGCGGCACATCTCCACGGGCACAGTTCGGCGGACAGACCCGACAGCTCACATTGACTTGGGAGAACAGCAGAACTGGGAGCAGTGGGGGCACACAGTCAAGGCTGGTCGCTAGCCTGCGTGCAACATTGTACGTGTGCAGCTTTCTGTGCTGCAAGCACCCTTGCCAAGCTGGATGGCGCCCCAGTGCACGTGAAATGATTGTAAGTGAGGTCATAGGAACATTACGTTCTTGAAACGCTCTGCTGTTATTTTCAGCTCACGTACATTTTAGTCTGGTTGCTGTTAACATCAAACCGTCATGCAAAAGTCATTACAAGTGTTGGGAGGTCCATTTTAATCAATCTTCCCCTATGGTTTCCTATCAATACTATCCAAAGGAACACGTAACATTAGCAAACATTTCCATCATAACAGAATACCTTTAAATTGAATTAAACCCATCCTCATGATTGCCTTGCCGGGTAGACAGAGTGGACTGACTTTATTTCCGTCAGTCCCATGACTCCTGAACGCTGACCATGAGCATCACAAGCGCTTTTGGAGACTGGGGAGTTCACCCCGCTGAGGGGCAGTCACCACCTGCTGACCTCCTCCTCTCGGGGATGCCATTTTATGGATTCAGCACATCGCTTACGGGGCACTCCATGCCTTTACTTTCAGTATCAACCATCTGGCCCTACCTTTATTGCCTGCATGAAGATTTGGAATACTTTGCATCACTATAGCTCACATCTGGACAAATTTTCTGTTCAGAGAGGAAGTGCTAGGCCATGGAAATAAAATAACCGGGAAAGCACATTTTAGCTCTGCAAATCAAGTAAGTTTTCAACAACTCAGAGAAGTTAAACCTTCAGCTACATCAGGACAAGAAGAGCTCCAGGTCTAAAAATTGCAGACTAAAAATTGACCTACTTGGAAAGGAGAGAGAAAAGGCAGGGTTTTTTTTTTCTTGTTTTTCAATTTGGATTTTTTTCTTTTTCTCTTTTTTTTGGGCTCTATAATACACACTGACATCCCCCCCCCCATACCTGTGCAACTAATTGCCTGGTCAGTTCTTCTAATATTAGTTGATGATTAAAATACATGAAAAGGCAAGAACTGGCTAGCTGGGGTAAGAAACTGAAAGTTTTTAGTGTACGCTGACAGCAGGAAACGCAGGATGCTTTGAAAGATGAGGTCTCCTTTTGCACTAAGGTCTCAAAAGAGGAGGAGGAAAAAGTTTAGCAAAACTTTTTATCCATCACTACTCCAGAATTTCTTGACTCAGATTAGTCAGACTACACTTCTTTTTTCTTTCTCCATATTTTTAACAGAACTCTCGACCCCATTGCAGGCTACTCCTCCCTCCCTTCCCCCAATGCAAAAACAATCTAGTAATGGAAACCTAAAACTCATCTGTCACTAAAAGAAAACAAGATAGGACACTTTTGAGGGAAAAATAGAAGCAAATTTCTTTTTTCAGTTTCCTTTAAAGACAACAGTTACAGAATACAATTTTAAGTGACTAAACTTGCTAGCTATTCCTTTTGTTCAACAATTCAAAATGACAGCGAGTGAGAACATGTATAATATCAGTGTAGAAGTATCAATTATCATGCTTTGATTTGGGACAAGGTTGTCTTCTATAAAGTCGAAGACAGACATAAACTCAGTCTCTTGTAACTAAGGAGTAATAAAATACTGAGATACAAAGTGAGATTGTGCAAGTGTTATAAGAATTTTTTTTTTATAAGAATTTTTACTAGAAATCTAGTTCCAAGAAAAAGTCTAAAAAGGAAAAGGGGAGGGAGGGCAGACACTCCTGCAGTGATTCACACCTTGATTTCATGGCTCATTCCCTTCTGTATCAATAGTGTCCACACAAAAGATGCACTATTATTTCACATAATGGAGGGGGCAGCTAAAGGACTGGCTTCATTGCACACTGCAGCCACATTGACATTTGTAAAAACGTCCAAATCCAAAGGGATAAATAATTCACTGCTTTGCTGAAAGATAGCACTAAAGGGTTTTGATAGGTTGATAAAGAAGAATGCAGCTGTAAAAGTCTGGCACACCCGAGCCACAAGGAATTTGTACAAGCCCACTATGTCCTCACTTTTCAGATGAGCTATTAAAATAACACCCCCTGAATTGGATTGCTCATTTTCAACCGCAATGATCCCTATGCCAAAGCATGGAGCGATTTAAAAAAAAAAAAGAAGAGTTAAATGGATCTGTAAAGGAGGCTTCAGGAAGGCATTGAAAGAGGGGGATGGCTTCTATTTTTCTAATTATTTCTTCAAACACATTCTTAAATGGGATAGAGAATTATAACTTAGAGTTCCTGTCTCTGTGGTTTGACAAATCGACAATTTGTCCATTGTAAAAGTAATGATATGTTTCATTTATTTTCACTTGTTCTTTTAATAGAATATTTTACTCTTAAAATTGCAAGGACAGCTGAAAAGCAGCTTTGAGATGGCAGCAATCCGTGCATTACAGAAACATCTGTGATGCCTAATTCTGTTAACAATGAATGTAATGGCTTTATTTGTTTCTCATGGTATCCCCTGCATTCCAAACACTTGAGGATACTCACTCAGATAGACATTTATCTGCTATTAACCCTGGAAGCCTCTTGTCCTGGCCACGTTCCCTCCAGTCAGAGATGGGATACATTTCAAAACCAATCTTCATCAGATAGATAGACAACTGTTGAAGAATAGAAAAGCAGTCAATTCTATCCAAATTACCAATTTTCCCTCTGAGCACTTCACTGCCTGAAGTGAGAGTAGGACTAAGCGATAAACTGGCTCGCCCACATGGTGGTATGACATTTAGGCCAGAAAGGACCTGGATTCTGCCTCATCAAGCGCAAACCCTCATGTTGCAGGCAGTCAGGAGCATTGTGTTTGCTAGTATGTCTTCCTTCATGTCATTAAGAGCCTTTTTAGTCTTATTGTTCTTATTTGGGAGATTTTCACGTCCTGAAAGTTTGTTTTTTTTCCATGGCAGATACTGCCAGCACAATCAGAAATCACTACGGTGTGGATTATTTTCAAAATGTATCCGATGTTTTCTAGCACAGAGGTGGTCATAACTGGGATGCACACATGCCCTTTTCCTCTTAGACATACCCCAGGTTCTCCCTTCACTCCTTCAGTGTTGGCCTTTCAAGGGTTCTTCTGATCCTAGACCCTAATTGCATTTTGGGGTTCCCCAAAGTTCCTTACTCTTCTCTCTCTGACCCCCACATACTATTTGGAAGTTCAGCCACTATCTCCATCTTGCAGTTACGAATCTACCTTTTTATTCCAGATCTAACTGCCTTTCAAACTAAACTCTCAGCATGTCATTTTGACCTCCTGTGACTAACTGTCAAATTAAGCTCAAAATGGCTACATCTTCTTCCTGAGGCATTTCTGCTATATTCTTACTCAATCACTATGTGCAATGGCATCATTTGTATTCATATCACATGGGTGTCATCCTTAACTTGGATTTCTCTTTGGCTCCAAACATCAGGATTGTGCCTAAGGTCTTTCAGGCTCTTTCTGCATAACACCTCTAAATATACCCTTCCTCACCTATCCATACAGCTAAAACTTTTGCCTAGGTGGCTCTAGTCATTTGTCTTGATTATTGAGGCATTCTTTTCTCCGGATTCACACACGAAATCTCACCGCATTCATATGTTCAAAATACTATGCTTGCAAAGATCTTATCTCTAGCTCACTGAGTGAAAGAAGCAACACTTCGCTTTGCAGCATAGCCTCTCCCCACCTCTACCACCACATAAGTGACTTTTTGTAGCTATTCACAGCTTATCCTTTCCCTGTTTAGCTATCGTCTCTCACTCAGCATCGAGAGGTTAAATTCCACCTACAGCTCATGATGACTTCCTTCATGAGTCATTTGGTGAATTTTCATATAAGTGGCTTCAGGCCTTCATCCAGGATCTCCTCCCTGCTTGGGAGAAATTACTAGCAAAACCCCAAAACTAACTCATAATCTTCCTTCAAACAATTCCTTAAATGGAAAGCTGGATAATGCTTTGCCTGTAGGTGCATCCAACCCTTTAGCTGCTATTTTTAACTGCATTGCTTCTTTGTTGTCTTTTGCTCCCAATCTCCCTGGCAGACCAGATCACAAACTGGCCAGAAACCAAATTTGTGCTCTGTATCTGTATGGCAGGCTCAGCGCAGGGAAATCTCAGGTTACATGCAGACCCTAGAAGCTGCGATACTACAGAGCCACAAAACAGTAGTTGTAAGAAACAGCATGACAATACTGACCATAAACTCTTCTAACAGAAAATGCCTGCATTTTTAATACTGCTAAGGTCTTTCTTAACAGCATTAAAGTTTCTCACTGAAAATCCTATTACATTTGGGCTAAGTAGAATAGGGTGGCATTCAGGTCGCTCTGTGTTAGACGTCTCCAGGGTACACATTTTCATCTGCGGTAGTTGTCTAGAATTCCTCTATGGACACTAGAGGAATGCACACTTCTGGGCACAATTCATCTCATCCGAAATAGACCTCTACGACAGATGCGAATCATGCCCAAGCTGGGCTTATTTCCTCCTACTGATTATCAAGATGGCCGGACCAGCAGTGCAGGTGTGGACATCTGCGGTGCAGATGTCTAAAGTTATGCGATGCAAATCCCAAGTCCTGTTAACGTATCTGGAGACACACAGAGTGAGTACTTTTCTCAGAACATTTCAGGCTGGGTCTTCCCTTACTTAAGGTGTTCTACGCACTAAACTAATACCAACAACTTATACAGAAGGGAAGTTTGCCTTTCATCAGACACAGCAAGAGGAACATAAGAGTTATTTTCTCTTCTACAAAAGAAATAACAGCTGCTCATTTGTGATATTAGAATATACACTGATCTATAGTTTCAGCTGGCACAAGAACAATGGGAGCTTAAGTCTGGCATTTTCCTTAATCCTAATTTAGTTTTAATTCATTTTAAAGTTTATTCACCACCATCCCCTTTGCCAAGGTCCTTGTACTTGACCTGAAAATAACCTTTAGACAACTGTAAAAGCAAAGACAGCTCTGAAACACTATCTGTATGTTCTTTTGTCTTGGGAAATGTAAATTAGGGCACTGGGTGAATAACACAGCTTGGCTTTGTATCGTGAAATGTAATTCTGGGGCTATGGCAGGGTCAAGATTTATGAAGCTATCAGGACTGGAGTGGGCAGGGTGCCAGCTTACACCTGCAGCACCGTTTTTGCTGCTTTCAGACAAGAAACTGTGGAGTAAGGAACACTGGCTTCTGAGCTGACATCGCTTAACAGAACAGTAGGCACCTCTCTGAGATGGACAAGAAACGTGCAGACTGCAGAAGGAAATACCAAAAATAAAAAGCACAGGAACTGCAAGCCTGAGCTTACTGATACCTTAGAGATTATATAATTTTAAATAAAAAAAGTCTTTGAATAGAAGTACAGGTAATAAAACAATCTGGGGTGACCAACAAAAAAGTAACTATTTAGACATGAACAACAGGGCAAGAAGAACTGTAAAAGGGAAATGAAACAAAGAAAACAAAAGATTCTTCTGCCAAGGACATCTCTTGAAAAACTCAACAGCTTATTCTTAACCCAAGAAACTAATCCAATAGAGGATAATGCCTTTTTTACTGCTATCTAACATGCTCTGTTAAAAAAGAAAAAGCAAACAAATAAACAAACAAAAAAAAAAACCCTGACTAAATAAAAGTATCAGCATGATGTAGGCATCTCTGCCTCAGCTCCCAGGTTTATATCACAGCCTATCACACTTTTCTCCTCCTTACTTATCCACAACTCATTGGCTGGGTCACACAACCTCTGATTTCTGCGACTACTGGGGAAAGCACAGTAACTTTCATATGAATCAAATGTACAAAGCAAAGGAACACCTGGAAAAGATTATATTTTTCTAGGGATCTGCATTTCTTGTGTATGCTCTACATAGCTCCATTTAATAACCAGAAAGGCAAACATACTAGCATGGCAGATATCTGACAAATCTTTTGCAACAAAACTTACTTATGGAGGGTAGTCCTTTTATGTTCAGGATATATCTGAATAGCTATAATTTACCTGAACATATTGAATACACAAAGATTTATACAAGATATTTTTGTACCACTCCTCTGTTGATCAGGTGCAAATATTAAACACTTCCACTGAATGTGTGTGTCTGGTCAAATAGAATTATTTCTATTTCTCATTTTATGAATATATATTCACTTTACACATGTTAGTTTAAACTGCAGTCTCTAAGTGCTAAAGTCTTCGCTTTTCTTAAAAATTTTTGCTCAATCACAGAACACAAAAGGGACCGTGCACGTAGTCCAAAAAAGCCTTAAAAATAGCAACTTGTGTGTCTTTTTGTGGCAAACACATGGCTATTTGAAGAACTTTTTACAATAGTGTAAATTTGTATATTAGAAAAAGGAGCTAAATTATAACAAATTTTCACTGGCCTGAGAGAAATCAGAATATTGCCCATTTTCTATTGTGTAATCCATAACGAAGAATAGCGATTCTTAAATTCAAAGTTAACGTAAAACAAATGTATGACAAAATGCTATAATTACCCAGATGCACCTTTGCTTCTGTGCTGGCACCAGTTAGAAATGGCAAATTCTCTTCTGTTTAGGAAGCAGAGAAGGCCAATATATCCCTCTACCGCATCAGATGTATTCTTGCTTGTAACAGACAGCTGTCAGGCACACAAAGGGCTGGCTACCCAGCTAGAACAAATTAGATTAATACCATGAACTTCAAATTCCAAAGTCTGTGGGATTTTCGGATACCAGGACTTTGGTATTGAGCCATTTCTATTTTATATTTTGAACTTCTATTGAACCTTGGTGCAAAGCCTTTTTTGCCTTTACAGAATCCGTAACTCCACCCATGAGTTCTCCTAAAGACTCAGGGTTTCTCAGCTCTCTTTATCTGGCCTTATATTTTTTGTTACATACGTAAGTTGGCTTCCAAATGATAAAGCTGGTATTCAACAGCAAGATCTTGAACTTTCTCAGCCATTCGAGTGCAAAATTTTAATAAAATCTAAACAGGAAGACAGAGAGCACAGAAATGGTCATTCAAATGTTTCCATTTGAAATAAAATGATCTATATAACGCGTTAGTTCCATCTGGCAAGTTGAGGTTTCTGTTGGCACACAGAAAATTCAGCATGTCAGTCTTGGCATTGCGTTTCTCATTGGAAGCTTGACAACATCAGTGCCTCCACTCAAGTAAAGAGTAATACAAGAGGCAAAATAATTGGATGAAACTCTTCTCATTATTTTTGCTTTAAAAAAAAAAGGGGGGGGGTTTACCACCACATAATACTCAGAAAGAAGCATACAAGATTTAGAAGGGAAGTATATGTTTAAACTTAGACTTCAAAATAAATAGGAGAGCATACCTAAACTCTGGGGACTGGATTACTATTACACATTTCCATTGCTAGCAGCCCTAACTAGACGATAGGTATGGAAATGACAATTAAGTTGAAAAGCCTGCCTACTTACCACATCAGCGTATGAACTTCAGTCTTTTTCCTCCTATTTATATCTATATTTAAAATTAATACAAGAACATTTTGCATCTAATGCTTGACAGATCCTATTATGATTTCATCCTCCTGTTTAGTGTATTTCTTAACTGTGCATACAGCAGAAAAGGGCAAGGAATTAATCAGAATGCCAAAAGAGTTGGGTTACACAGTATGTAGAAAGCACTTCAGCTACATTATTTGCACAATTTCTGTAGGGAGTTGTGAAATAGAGGTCTTAAATTTAACGTGTCTGGCCTACTTCCACCTGGATTCAGTTCAAACCCGTTGCCTGCAGCTTGCTGAATACAGAGTGGGAAATCAGTCAATATATTAAGAACTGATGGCAAACGATTCCAATTCACATTTTTCAGCTGGTATGTTTTTTAACCTGGAGCAACACCAAATTGAAAAATTCTGCAATTCTGCAAACTGGGCATAAAAGCTGTGTTGCAGACTAAATACATTTCCAGTGCTGTGAAGTCAACAAGAGGATTTTTCTTTAGCATTTCTCCAGTTGCTATGCTACCCACTGAAGTTACAAGGTGCACTATATCATCAACTCTCATTCTGTTCTTTCTCTCCCTGCTACCAGTCAGTGTCAAAGCTGCTCAGCTGCTGTGATCTACGGTTTAGCGCTGACCCAATTTCAATACATTTATAAATGCCTGATGTAGATTTAAAGGCTATTTGCTGCAAAGATAAAAATGTACCTCTGAAATTAACCCACTGCACTTTTTGATTTCAAGTATGCATTTCAGTTCTGTGACGTTGCAAGGAGCTGTATATCTTTCCATTCTCTATCAAAAATTTTGAGTGGCTGCTCACAAACCTTTCAACAGCTGATAGAGCCATTATCCTACTCTAAGTAATAAAGAGCTGATATACATTCTTCACCTAATTTTTTGAGCAAACTCTGGCAACGTCTAGTGCTTGCAGACATGAATGAAAATTTTACTGGAGGGAGTCTCATATGCTATAGACAGGAAACCTGCCAACCCTGAACTCTGCTACTGATGTCATTTTAATCTGGGGGACCCTAGTGGCCATATAATACCAGATGTGTTGAAAAGCGTATTGATTTTGTGATGCTGACAAATGTCAATTTACAAGTTACAGGAAAAGATTTTAATCACGTCACAAGAACCAAAACAAGTTTGCATTAGATAATAAATGTGAGAACTTGATACAGTAAACACTAATTGCTGATTATTTTTCTTGCTTTGAATCAATACAGTTTGAACAAACTACAGATTCGATTCTTGTAAGAATTTAGTGCGCACTTTGGGTCACTACATTATCCCCATAAAGTATTTCTACATTTAGTGGCAGTGAAAAGGGAGCAGATTTAATTTGAGCTTGTCTTTCACAGGAAATAAAAGTTAACAGAAAATACTGGGACAAATACCTTCCTGGGATAGCATCACTCAAATCATTGCAGTTTTGCCTGAATGGTTTTATGAAGTTCCTTGAACATTATGGCTGGCTGACCAAGTTAGTAGTTTGTTTCAGTACTTTTTTTTTTTTCTGTGAAGAATTACATATGTTCAGAGAATTTTGGTACATAAGCATGCAAACATCAGTATAATACTTTTTATCAGTAGATCACAGCATGTGAAGCAAGATCCTAGCACTCATTGAGGAAAACTGGGAGAGGAAAAGAGGGAAAGAAGGATGAAGAGATTTGCTCAAGTAAGCCAGAGACAAAGTTAGGAGTAGAAAAAGGATTGAATAGTAACAAAGAAAGTTATCTTGAATAGACTTTCATAGCTTCATGTGGAATGGAAAGTTTTTACTTACCATTCCTTCAGGAAAAATCTGCTGAAAGGCACTTGATCAAGGAGAGCAGATGGTCGACATTCTTGTCATGCCTCCTACAACAGCCCTTATCTGGGCTAAAACTTCTGTCCAAGGAATAGTGAAGCCTGCGCGCATGTTCACATATTGAGGTACTCTTCCAGTAAAGAAAGTCTAAAGAAATTCAAGAGTTATATTTTAACAGGAGGAAAGAGAAAGATAAGGAAGACATACCTTACCACACACCTCATTGGAAATATCTGAAAAATGACATGGATTCCAGGACAAAAACTCGCTCTTTAGAAACTGTATGTTTCTGTACATGCTTTTCAAATTGTATCTGGCATGAAAAACTGAAAAGGGAAAGGCTGCTTCTTTAATCACTCATTACTTAGTGCAACTATGTGTCAGTGCAAGAGCACGCAAAGCTCTACTCTTATATCAGAGAGGGGCTGGCAGCACAAATTCAACAGCAATACGCTTTTCAAGACGAAGAGCTCTCAATCAGAAAGCTAAGATTTGGTTCAGGGCAAAACCAGAGGTTCTAACACTAAATCTGACCAAGATGCAGCACAAAACGATGGACATCCTGTGATAAAAGATGCTGTTGTGAAAAGATGACATCCGAGATAGCTTTGTTAACCCAAACCCAAATTCCCCACAGTGGGGCCAGAGGGAAAGTAAAAGTGTCTGTCACAGTCCTTCAAGGAACAAGACCATGTTGCAGGGAAGTAAAACAAATAAGACCAGAACTGGCTGCAGATCTAATGCCTGGCTCAATTAGGCTGCACCCAGAGCACTTCTAGCACAGCCTAGCTTTAATACACGTTAAAAACTCTATCCTGAATCTATCATTACAGCAGTTGCAAGAGAAAGGAACATCCAGTGCCACAAGTGTCCCAAAGTCACACTGTTTCCATTGACAGGAGATAAAATATACCCAAGAAGAAGTCACATGGCTTTGTGGAGTTGAAGATAGGGGAAGAAATATATATACTGTGTATTCATTATATTCAGTGGTCACTACTTACGTGGCAGATCCAGAATCCGTTCTCAGGCACTGGCATAATTCAATCTCTGGTGACTCCTGATTAAAATGATGTTAAGTCAGTTAAGACTGTCACTCAAAATAGAGCATCAAAAGGAATAGAGAATATTAAATATTTCTCTGAAGGAGCAGCTCAAATTCTATCATTGGCTAAATGAAAATGTTCTAGTTGTGAAAATTCCTTTTTGCTTTAAATTGAAATTATTAAACTCTACTAAAGAACTATACAAAAACCTTTCTGTTGAAGTGCATAGAAGCCATAAACTTCCTTGAAATATATTTTAATTTCTTATTTTCTCATGTTGATGTTACCTGCTAGATCCAACAATGTGTATTTATTAATATATTTAGGTAGATAAACCTTTCCCTGTAGAGCTTGCTATTTAAGGTCTCTGTTCTGAATCATGCCCATATTTATTTCAACATCCATAAACAATTCCACTGACTTAAAAGGACGCTTCATTTGCAGAAGCATGTGCATACATTCTTCCCAGATAGTGGCTAAAAGAAGGTGAGATGCTCTTGAAAATCTTGAAAAACACAAAACATATGTTATTTCACTAAAAAGGATTTTCTTAATTTCAGTATATACTCATTTCTTTCAAGTGTTTCAAATTCAGCAAGCTTCTGGGATGTCACCGGAAAGGCTACGTCTTCCATAAGATGGACGGTTTATTGTGTTATACCATCCATAGCATTTAGAGCATACAATGACATGCTTAGTACTGAGACCCAGAGATAAAAGATACAGCTAAACTTCCAATTACAGGCACAGTTTTTGTTTCTGCTTTGTATAAGCATTATCATGTTCATTAATTGACTCATTAATTGCCTTTGAGCTCTCTAGTACCCACATTTACAAAGTTTACCCCACTGCTTACAAACCCTGCCCTTAAGGTGTTTACACAAGTTTAATAGTTTGCATTTTAGGAAGCAATTCCTCGGCTCTAGTTTCTACCTCATTTTATGCCTCAGTGAACATGCTGGAAGAACAAGAGGCCAAATTCATTCCAGGAATAATTCCATTCACTAAAGTTGACTTATGATACAACAAGGCATCTGGGAAAGAACTCATAAATAAAGTTTATCAAATGCATCCATGAAATAAACCTAAATTGTTTTTATGTGGTCTGAGCAGTTCCATCGCAGACATCAGACTTGAGCATACACCACAAAGTCAGAAAATCTAGGGAATTATTCTCCTTCAACGGTGCATGCAGATATTAACAGATATTTGCATTCATTGCTCAGGTTAGAGAATGTCAGCAGTGCCCTGGTGACTAAAGCACATCAGCGCAAACTACTTACACTGTTTCTTACCAAAACTACTAAAACCTTTTCTCTGCTGAAGTGTCTCCTTGAGCTTTTCGGAGGTTGCTGTCAGTTTGGTAAAAATGTACTCAAATAATTAGTCATACCTCCTGTTCAATACATGCTTTTCTTTTGCTTTTAGCTCTGGCATAATTTCAGCACCTTGCCATTTGCATCAGACCGCATAAGCAATCAAAGAGAAACGATTTATCTTCCAGAAACTAGAACTGCAGTCCTGCTCATGTGCACCAAATGGTACTGTAAATAGAATCAGCAAGCACTGTTATGACTTTTAAGCTCTCAAATACATATTTCATAATTCACAGCAATATTTCAACTATGGAACTAATAGCAACTGGTAATCTTGGAACAGAAAACTTGCTAAATGCCATATCAAAAGCATGTATCTTGGCACTGCAGTTTTGAAGTTCTGAGCGCTTGAAGCTGTGAGAAATTTTGAAAAGCAACATGCCCTGACATTTCATTCACTCTTTTCTCTTACGGAGATATAAAACATTACTTTATTTTGTTTGCCGTTAATGTTATGTGATCTATACCCACATGAAGTGTATTAAATCTTTTTCTGTATATAATCTGTATATAATCTTTTTCTAATAACCCAGTCTGTGCATCCATCCTATTGTTCTTCTGATGTGTTCAGTTTCTAAAGCTTCAGTTTTCTGGCTTCCATTGATTTTGTTGGATAGTTGCCAGAGAAAATAGTACGTGATCATACCTTTTCAGCATAAGAATGATAAATTACGTCTATTTTGCTTGTGTATATAAACCTTTATGCACACACACACACACCTGGATGCTAAGAAGCATCTTTTGTACTGCGACCTCTCCTTATTGATGAGAGCCACATTTATCTTTGAACTGATCACTACAATCACAGATGACCACGGCGTAAGGCATTAGTGCTGAACCTCACGTAAAAGAGTCACAGACTCAGCTTCTAGCAACGCAATTATCAAAAAGTTGAATAACTTTGATGTGTTTGTTTGTTCTTTTCCTGCACACAATGTTGGAATAAAAAATGGTTACTTTGCATAAAGCCTATCAGTTCTTGCTGATCTCTCGGTGGACTGTAATAATATTAAAGCAATGACCAGCTTTATGTTTTGTGCCTATAGAGTGTGTAGCTTCAGGCCTGCTGACTGGCACCCGAGGTTTGTAGACGTTACCACAAGAAAATCATCAGAAGTTTGAGGGGTAAACAAAATCAGTATTTTTTTGGCCAGGTACTGGATGAGCATTTATAGTATATTAATTACTTGTGCTTAAAAGTTGTTTGCTTGTTATAGTATTTGCATTTTTTATAGTGCAGGCTTACACGTTTCTTGCAGTTCAGAAAAGAATGTGTAATTATGTAATGCAACATAAGTCTGCCAGTGCTAAACAAAGTCTATAGAAATCTGGTATATTTATATCTCAAGTTGAACTTCTGGCAATGACTATTACAGTGCTCATCTTAGTAACATCTATAGAAACCAAGGAGGTACCTCTGTTGCCTGGAGATATTTTATCAGGAATCAATGGATCTTATTATCTTTACAACAAGTAATTCCATACAAAACACTGTGATAACACTAGTCTCTCTCTTTTCCCCCCTCTGTCATTTTGTACATTTGTATACCTCCTACTATTGCAGTCAGAGGTTTTCAAGACGTGATGAATTCATATGGACTATAACCCTAGCGATAAGGAAATAGTATTGTCACATCTAGAGTCACATCTTTGAACTGGAGGAAGGCAAAACCTGTGAAAACCCCCTTTCGCCTCAGTTTGACATCTGTCTTCCGATGCTTCACAGATTAGCAGGACTCATCACAGGAAACTAATTGTAAATCAGAGGGAAAAGCTCTTCCCTGGTACCCAAAGTTGCTTGTAACAGCGCATTAGAGATAACAGTGAAAACTGCTACACCAAGGTACTTGGAGAATTAGATTAGGTTAGAGCTGTCGCTTTAACAACTATGGCAAAAGCGATGCTGAGTGAAAGGAGGGGACGTAAGCAGATTTGCAGATACCACAGACAGAAGGACGACCCCCAAGCTTTTCATATATCACTATTCACAGTCAGATTCCTCCAGAATGCAGGAGACCCCTTAGAAGTGCATATTGCCACTTTTTCCTCTTCAATAAAACTGAAAGGGTTTCGTCACAGTTGAAATACACAGACTTCAGTATCTCATAATAATACACAGTAGCAAAATCAAAATGATACATTCAAAACAAAATATTTTGGAATATTTTCCTTAAGTTTCATCAATGAAACAAGATGAAATTAGCATTTTGGATGGATTTTTTTTGGTTAGAAAGCTTTTTAGCAAGACCAGTTATGACAGTTGCTCTAGATTTATGCCAGTGTAAAAAAACAAAATATGGCTCAAAACATAGTTGGTTCCTTTTAAAATGTGAACGTGAAAAATGTGAATGTAGGCAGCACTGCAACGCGCTGGACTAGAAGCTCAAAATTCTGTTCTGCACAATATGGGACAAAATGACCTGTTACATCTTGCACTAGTACCTGTTGGAACGTCGATAGAAATAAGAAAGGAATTTATTATTGAAAATCTCTTAGTGCATTCTCAAAACAAACCAAAAATACTAATTACAATCCAATTTTTCAGCCATTTATAAAGCAGAACTTTTGGACAGATTTTTCAGTGCAATAGCAAAATTTGGACCTTAATTGGGCAGTTATTTAACATACATAATGGCCCTTTCACAGGCTTTATAAGAGCAGGAACTTGCTGACAAAGCAAGACAGCTTGCTCTTGCCTTCACCTCTTTTGTGACATTGCTACAATCTCAGCTCAGGCATTCAGCAACTCTTTACCCTCATAATCCTAAACAATGAGTTCTTTGATGAAAAGGACTAATATTTCAGCTACTTTTATCTATCATTCAAAGAAAAGATTTTGAAAGCCATACTTTTGAAAGAACTGATGGGGCTTGCGGTGAAAGACATTCTCAGGGTATTGAACTTCAATGAGAACTTTGTTGAGTTTGTGACTTGGGGAAAATGACAATATTGATACTAACGATATTAGCTAACATTACTCATATCAATGCCTTCTGCCCAAGAGGAAAGCACACCTGCGCTGTAAATCTACAGAGACGTGTACTTTTGTTCTGCGTTTGCATAGTGCCTGGCACAGTGGGGCTTAGATCCACAATGGGCTTTTTCAATGCTACAGTAATATAGTAATGACAGATATCATCCTGATTCAAGTACTCTATATACACATACGTGACTCAAATGCATTTATTTTGTGGGTATTCCATGACGATTCCATGAAAAACGGGCACAGAAAACAAAGAACATCCACAAGGCTGTAACTGGAAGTTTGTCCATCAAATCTTAACTTGCCTCATTGAATCCTACAGTGTCGGGGTAACATTACTCAGATGCCAGGAGATTTGACAGTCGGCATTAAGAAACTCAGTCTTCACCAGGAAGGCATAAAAACATGTATAAGGAAATGGAACTATTGAAGTAGGCCTTTTTAGCATGTATTTTGTATCAACTCGGAGTCCCTTATACTGGGTAAGGAGGTCCGCACTGATCAAATGCAATGCAAATCTAAGAAACACCTATAGTATGAAGAGACTAAGACTGCCTAAGACTTCGTCATTGAGTTTTGCCCACAAAAGAGATTTTGGATTTATCACTTGAGGCAGAGGGCCCAGATATAGATAGAAAATACATTATACACAAAATGCCACACCAAAAAATAAAAATAAATCTTGGAAAGTTCTTAATAATCCAAGGGTTTATAGCAGATTGCTCACATCAGTGTAATCAAGCTTATAGGACACTTAGAAGAAAATCTCACCTGTGAGCTTTCCAAGTGAGTTCTTTTTGGAAGCCCTTACTAGAAATGCCCTCTTCTGAATGTGAACAGAAAAGGGCTGCAAATCCTCCAGATTTGTTTTCACTGTAAAATCATAAGCTGGATCTCACCAAATGTTTACCTTTTTTGCAGAGACAGCAATGCCTTTGCAATGAACCTGCTGCAATTTTCTTCTTTCAGAGTACCTACCTTACAAATCGTGGATCTCACTGGCTCTGCTCCTTTTCTTTTAGTTGCACAGGGAAGTTCTCTCCTCCCATCAAAACAACTATGTTAGCACATTTTCATTGGTTCTACTGAACCACTTTGACCGTGAATAAATATAATGCAGTTTCCTTTATTACTTACAGTTGAAAGGCTCTAAAAATCTTTTCCCTCCTGCATTCTGAACGCATGAGTATTTCAATTTTCAGATAACCATAGCCTAAAATTGCACAGTTTTATAACAGAGACAACAGGCTAGACACCCACTTGAGTAAGGTTTTATTAGGTGCGCCTCCCATACCATGGGCCAAGGCCCTAGTATAAGGACAACTCTAAACATTTGCAAGCAGGCAACCGTTCTTTGAGACTCGTACATAGCTAGAACAGAGCATAACCTTGCCACAAAACTTGGCTGAAGATTTTCGCTCTCACAGTTTGGCTAGATAGCTGTTTTACAATTGATTTCTTCAGTCAGTTCGTTGACAATTCCAATACCCCAAAAGTTTCAGATTACAATTCCTGGTAGGCCCACGTGGGAGCTGCTCAGTTACTGTAGGTCCCGCAGTCTTCTACAAGACAAGGCTCACAGTGCCTCACAGCCAGGCACATGCACTTGCCCATCTCCCTGCCACGAGGGTACGTGAAAGCCCTGGCATTCAGCGAAGGGCCTAAATTATTGGAAAAGTGAGATTCAGTCTGTGAGGAGAGTGCCAATTTTTGTCAAATGCTTTTTTTCCATAAAGTTTTCTGAGAGAAAGATAACATCCTGATGAGCTTTTTCAGCAACACCATCAGGTCTAGTTTATATTTAACGCCAGGGCAGTGTGTCTGGTATTAATGCAAGGACATTTCCAGGAGAATTTCCTTGTCCTTCCTTTTTGATTGAGGAAGTATTTAATATCTGATGATATTCTGCTAAGTTTAAGGCTTACTGAAAGCACCGGAGTAGCTAAGTTGCATTGCTGAATTAAACCAATACAATCATGTAAACAAAAATTTGCTGAAGAGTCTATTCAATATTCACGAGATACAAGTCTTGCCACCCTGTTCATTTATGAACCTTTCTGTATACCATGTATTAAATGATGAGCCTTGATAGATTTGACTATATCAGAGAGGAAGAATTTTTTAGTTGGAATAACAGAGCTATATTTGTAGGATACAATTTTCTTTTCAAATCCACTGTAGGATTTATTTCTGTTTGTGCTAAGGGAATTCATGCTAATAGTCCATTCAGAAGCTGAGAGATAGAGGAAAAGTAAAACACCTGAACTGAAAGTAGGCAGATAGAAGTAAATATATATTTTTTCTTGGTAGAAAAATAAATCCATATTGTTTTTCTCCATTTTCTCCATTCTGATTTTCTCCATCAGAAAGGATTGGACATAGAGGAAATATAAAACTGATATTGTAAAGTGTGAATACTACTCTTCATTACTGGGGGGGGGGCTTTGGGTGCCTAACGTTTTGAGTTTGGGGGAGCTTATGATACGCAAATAAATAAAACTTTCTATTTTTCTTCTTACTAGAATTAAGTGTAGAAACTACAAAAGTAGCTTTGTAAATAACTTCCCACTGAGAAAAATATCATAAAATGGAAGCAACAGAACAGGCTGCAAAGTTCCTGTCACGACAGAGAAGAAAGGCGTATACAGCATATAGCCTATATAGTATCTAGCCTCCTATTAAAAAGTTCCAACTTCTCTTTGTGGTTAACAATTATATTGGGCTCATCATAAAAGAATATATAACATACGATTTTACAAGCAACAGGGAATTAAATTTGTTTTATGAAAAAATATCTTTATAAGCATATTACAAGGCGCGCTACAGTCTTAAAACTTGACTGTAACTGTACAGTTTAAAAAGAAACTGATATTTTTTTCTTTCCATGCAAAAATGCAGAACAAATGTGGTATTGAAACATAGAGAAGAGCAGTGCTTACTCTCTATGCACTGCACACGAGACATCTCCACGGCTTCCTGAACGATCCAGTCTAGCTCTTACGATGGAAGAACAACTGCGAACCACGGCCTCACCATACAGGAACTTTGTGAGAATGTAAATTCTTTACCCTACAGACAGTCTGTCCAACTCAAGACACAGACTTGAACTTGCCTTTCAATCTGATCTGCCTCTCCTAACCAATGGGCTACTCAGAGGACAAGTCTTACTTCCCCTTTTTGCTAAGGAAGCAAATGAACAAAAAAATCTGAGTTTCATCCTGAAGGAGAATTTCAATATATTGAAAAACGTCAGTTTCTTCAACTGTGCATTACAAAACAGTTCGTCTTTCTCTCTTTTGCCCACTCACAAGCACACTATATAATGGAGGCTAGCGTGGAGATCCCCAAAACGCCTAAAACCCCAGCTCAGACCCATTAGCAACACTTTGGCAGCTTTAATTCATGGAGCGGCTGTAAAGAGTCTCCATGGCAGCTTCTGCTCGAATTCCTAGATTAGTAGAAGAGCTGTGACCCCTAATCATACGGTGCAGAAAAGTTGTGAACTTGCAAAAATACTACAGTGCTACAGTCTGCGTCTGCACTGAGTCTGAAGTCTCAATGCAATGTCCAACCCAAGCTAATAAACCTCACATCACAGAAGACTTTATTAGTACTTATTAGTACTGATTAATCTCTACTAGTTTCAGGTCTGGGGCTGAGTTGACTGCAGCTAGCAAAAGCATCTCGGTACCATGTACTGCACCAGGCTCGGCAGAATGAAATAGCAGAGGCTATGTCTATGCTAATAAATAAAAGCGTACCATGAACCACGCTCTGGCGCATCCAGACTGCTTACTGGGAGTGGTGCTTGGCCCATGATAATTCCCAAACCGTGCTTAAATTTTGCTAGGGACAACACTAGTTGGCATGGGCCAAAACCATGTCAGGGACTGCTCTATCGACTTAGCAGCCCAGGTGAACATAGTAGAGCCTGCAGGAATATCGCCTGGCACTGTTTCATTTACTAGTATGGCTATGGCCCCAGCACAACGCAATAGCATGGACGAGAGCCAGTTAAAACAAAACATCGCAAAAACCCATAGGAACATACTGTGAGAAAACAAACATCCAAAATAATGCAACTTAGCCATCATTCTCCAACTTTGGCGTAAGGGAGACACCTCGAGTCACCCAGAAACCCAGTTCCCCTCTTTGTTAACAACCTCCAGGAGGTCCTTGTTTAAAATTCATCAGCCTGCAGCATGAACGTCTATGTGAATAGCAGATCAAACATATTTAGAACAGCAGTTGTGTAAAAGTTTACCGGTTCATTTCCCACAGACACGCAGGCAGGCTCTGGGAGGCGTTTGCGTGGCGCCCATCCAGCTGGAGCCGCGGTCCCGTGTGCGGGACCTTTCCCCCATACACACCACGGTGCGCATGCCCCGTCCTCATCTCGCCACCGCCGTCACGCTAGAGGTGGGATGTAAGGGGGAAGGGATCCCCCGTGTTTGCAGGGCTCGGTTCCGCCCGGCTTTCCTCCTTACTTTTACAAAGTGGTTAAAGAGGTAAAATTCCCTAACACATAAAAGAACAAGATAAATGTCAGCAAACAGAACGCTACGCGCAGAGCATCAAAACATACAGATTAAAGCACAAATAACTTTTCTCAGACTTCAAAAATGTTCCACTTGTCATTTTAAGGCAAAAACTATCTAGCGTGAGCTTTGATCATCTGTAATAGATTCTTTCTGACTGGTTGTCAACCTGAAAATTAAAATGGCTGGTTGAAAAAGCACAACAGCCGCTGTAGCAAAGAAAGATTAATTTGTTCTGACTAATGAAGACATCATCACTAGTGTAAATCAAACCAGTCCGATGACATTACCCACTGATATTTTCCTCAAAAATCAAAATGCCTTTGTCCACAAAAGCAAAGGCCAGCATACTAATTATGGTATATTTACTTCACTAACAACAAAACCAAAATGATTTCTCTTCCTTTGCAGCCACAGGCCTGGACATAGAAGACATCAACAGACTTTGCACATTTTATGGTAAGATAAACAAAGATATAAAAAGATGAGATAAAACAGAGAGACATTCATGAATGCTAAGTTATTCCATATTTAAATTAATTACACGGTTAAAGAGTGATTGCCTCTTTTTATCTTCTACCAACTATAAACCAGAAAAAAAGATCAAGAAACACAGCTGGGCATTTATTAATTCTATTCTTCCCTCTACAATTAAACTTTAATCAATTTCAAAGAACGTTTGGGTTCTGTCCAATGCAGTTGCCATGTTTAAAGCTTTGATGAAAAAGGATACGTACATTACCTGTAGCAGCCTTTTTGGAGGATTCGTTCTCTGGATGAGTAACACTTTGTAGCAAAAGAAGCAAAGATTTCTATATAGTGAATAATATTCAAAAATAGTTTCAATTTATGTTCCTACAGATTGAGAATGAGCTTTAAAATATTATATTTAATCTGGATTTCCTTTAGGAAAATCGAGCATCAGACTCTCTGGACAGCGATTGCTCATAAATAGTCCTTAAAAATTTAAAAGCTAACATAAAATGTATACAATGACAAACAAGAATTCATTCATAAGTAGTGGGTTTATATGCCCAAATATTAAAAAAAAAAAAAATCCAAATCCTTTCTTCTCAAAGTGAAGAAGAGTGTCAGCAACAAAAAACATGGTTTTCCCCTCCCTCCCCACAAACAAAGTACCCACTCTTAGTGGTCACAAAAATCACTCTTCTCCTTAGATGGGGGCACAAAGCCGATCTATCTTTCTTCCCCTGGTACTATAATGCAATCCAGAAGGGAAGGATCTGTAATCAGACTGCTGCAAAATATCAATATCTGTCAGGCTACAAGAAGCTACTCCTGCCTCGGACATCAAATTAGATCAATTGGCCATCTGGGGTGAACACATGGAAGAACATACAGCGAGCAGTGAGCCACAATTAGGCTCCTAAGGGTTTCAGCCAAGAAGATTAATCAGTAACACAGAGACCTCATTGCTAATAGTACTACAATTTGGAGAAGAACTTCTACCCTTAATGAAATTTTAAAACCCCAAACAAATAAGAATACCTACCTAACAAGACAGCTATCTGTCTGGCCCGTGCCTCCTGGAGAAGAAGACAATTGCCTCCTTGCTGCTAGGTGCAGACAAAGATGATCAGGACCTGAACATCCTTCACTTCTACATGGAACAGAGCCCCAAGCCTACAGCAATAAGTATGGCATATATTAATCTGATCTCAAGCGAAGGATGCAACCTCGAGCTCAAGCTCCTACTGGCAAGATATGAGACCTAGAATGAAGTCTTTTGGAGTCCATAATACAACATACAGCCAGAGAAAGTTTGTAGTTTAACCATAATAGCAAAACTGAAAAACAACATTAAAACTCAGACTCAGCAGCCAGCAATTCTCGGCAAGGCTGGACAAAATGGTCAGATCCAGATTCAGATCCCAAAGGCATGACTATGGAGTGCTCTGTGGGGGAGGAAAGAGCAAATGCTGCTTTCCCCTTCCCTAGAGCTCCCCACCCTGCTCTCACCTGCATCAGCCAGATAAATTCTACACCTACCTACCCTTGCAAGCAAAGTCATAAGCGGCTGCAACCAAGGGAGGCAGAGTGCTTGCTCCCAGTGCACTTGTGGAGGGCGAAGAAAGTTTAGCTGGGATAAATGACCCTTGCTTCCCTCATGCTTATGACTGAAGGCAACAAAGCAGCAAAATGAAAACAGGGCAGTTAACTCTCCTCTCTCAGCAGCGTGAATCAGGCACAACACCTCTGAGGTCAATAAAATTACATGGATATAAACTGGGGTAACTAAGTGCAGAATCTCCCAGCAGTAAGAACTTTGGGGGCAGTGGGGAAATCAGCTTTATCAAAGCAACAGCAACAACAACAGGCTTTACTCCTTCAGGCTACTTAATTATCTTGATTCCAGCAAAATTTGGGGACCAATTCCTGTCTTATTTTAGAATAGAACAAGTCGGTTGAGATCATTTCCAAGAGAGCTGGTAGAAAATAGGAAAACACATCAAAAAACCAATTTGTACTCAGACTCTGGCAAAATATAGATAATGAAATTTATGTCTAATTACTACACCCTCTCATTGTTACATAAATTAGAAGCCGTTATTCAGTAGCAAACCATTTGCTTAACACGCTGCTGCATATTTTCTATGAAACTGTTGCGAGTTTCTTCTTTTTCCCTACTTTGGTTAAACCATATAGCTCCCTTTGGAATTGTTAGATTAATTTGATTTGTTTTATAGTTAGTATGTGAACAGTTCACAGTCCACAGGGTCTAGCTTTCCCTTTTATAAATAATTTCCTTTTTATGGTGCAATTAGGATGCTGTGTGTTTTTGCATTGCACCTCAGAGGTAAGTGTGACAAATGGGAGATATTAAAAGTTCTCTTTCTTTTCCTCCCTGACACAAGGAGGACCTGAAGAATCCAGAATAAGGATTATAATGCTGCTTCTGAATGCATATGCAATTTCTACTGTGTACAGTACTTTTTGTGCTGATGCTTTGCTGTGCTGCTGCCTTTGTACTTGATGTTCACCTTTGTCTGGGGGCTTTTCAGTATTGATCTACTTAGATAAGCAAGTACAGATCAATACATGCATTTTGTAAGGAATCTGAAGTTATTTCTGTGAATGTTAATAAGCGCCTAGAATATGCTTACAGATATTTAGGATGCATTCAGGTTACTATCAAAACTGAATTTACAGCAATTGATAAATAAGAACACAAACGTGTTTCTAATTTATAATGACTTATAGTACAAGATAATG